TTGACACTCAGAAAAATGTTGATGGTGGCATGCAAATTATTGAAGTTTGGGCAACACTGAGATAGAGGAAAGATCAGTGGACTTAGGGATACCTGTCCTGTGTTCCAGTCTCACCCCTGCCATGACCTAATAGGGTGGGCCTGTACACCACTCTTATCTAAGGCCTGTTAGGGCCTCACACAGTGGCTTACACCTGTAATCACACTGGAGGCTGAGGCAGAAGGATCGCTTGAACCCAGGAGTTTGAGACCAGCCTGGGCAACGTAGAGAGACCTCGTCTCTATAAAAAAATACAAACTAGCTGGGTGTGATGGTGTATGCTTGTGGTGTTAGCTACTTGGGAGGCTGAGGCCAAGACTTCTAAGACTATTTTCTACCCTAAAGTTCTCTGATTGTATGTTATGACTTTGGGTCCTTTATTTAGATGACCTAGTTTGCTTATTTAATAGAATTTTATTCTTTTTAATGATCAAACTAAAATAAAATGCATATTTAGAATTTTAAATATGAAATTAGCATTTAAAATCTTCTAAGAACCATAGTATCATAGTAACAGTAGGTGAAAAAGAAATCACTTATGAACTTGAACTTGCTATTCTATGAAACTCTTATGTCCATTTTGTATTCTTTATGCTGCCATATTATTTTTATATGGTTGTGATTGACCATGCTTTTATAGACAAAGTTTCTGGAAGCAGTCTTCAAATACAAATTTCCATTTCATGCTTTAGATTACAATTGCTCTTAGTAAATGAAAAATTTAAATGTGTTTCATCCATACTTTGTTTTGGTAGCTAATATTCAGGTGAATCTTTTGAATTGATTTAAGTGGAATGCTGTGACATTAATCCTCTTGAGCCTCATCTAGTCAATGATATGGTATAATAAATGTCTCAGTGCTTTACTTGGATATTTGAGTCTTTGATACAATTATTTGGACATTGTATATTTGGGGTCTTCTCTGTAAGAGAAGAAAAACAGTTACTACGTTCTGTTTTCCTAGTCATACTTCTTTTATCCACTATTGACCATTTGTTTTGTGTTTATAATTTCATCTACAGTTTTAATCTTCGTTGGAATTGTTAGATCTGACTGTAGAACATAATATTATATTTCCGTAGTTTACTTTTACATATTGAATTTGATAGAAATACAGATATTTGCCCAAGCTAACAAAGAAGCTTCCTTCACAATAGAGCTACTGTTTTATTTTGTGGTCCTTTTCTAATTTTCTAACTATAACATCTTACTTGCATAAGCTCCTGGTTGATCTCTCTTGAAATTCATAGGCTATTTAAAAGTTGGCTGGAAATCTTGTGGTATTACTTCCAAATCATTTCACAAATTTTTCTTACCTTCTCCTTAATTTAGACATTTACATTTACTAACAGTTGAAATGAATTTGTACTTTCTGTTTTTAAGTTTTGATTTTTAAAAATCAATTTGATTTAGAAGTGTACATATTTATATAAAATTAGGCTCCCAACCATATGTACATCAAGTTTTAAAGTCCTTAGGACCTAAATTTCAGATTAGGGTAAAAATAGTTCCTCTTATCATCATCATATCTTCAAAATTCAGAAAAACATAATTATTAACTGTTATGGTATGTGTCAATCCTGTCTTTTTTTGATGTTTCTCTCATATTTCCATTAGATTTTCAGTTTCTTGCCTTCTAATATTTTTGTAATAAAATAAGTTTGAAGGTCAATTCAAAGAGGAAAGTAACTTTTAGTTGATCTTCTGCCTTCCCCTTTGTAAAACTGTTTTAAATAAAAATTGAAGAGGTTATTGGGTAAATGCAAACTAGATAACTTTTAAAAGAAGATATTCTATACAACTTTATACTTCCTTTAAGAACTAATAGCTTAGTATTTGATGTCTTATAAGTTTATTTTTTTATTTTTTATTTTTTTGAGACGGAGTCTTGCTCTGTCACCCAGGCTGAATTGCAGTGGCGTGATCTTGGCTCACTGTGTACTCCATCTCCTGGGTTTAGACGATTCTCCTGCCTCAGCTTCCTGAATACCTGGGACTACAGGCATGCACCACGACGGCCAGCTAACTTTTTGTGTTTTTAGTAGAGACGGGGTTTCACTGTGTTAGCCAGGATGGTCTCCATCTCCTGACTTCGTGGTCCGCCTGCCTCATCCTCCCAAAGGGCTGAGATTACAGGTGTGAGCCACCACGCCCCGCCCATATGTTTATTTTTTATTTAACTTTTTATCATGGAAATTTTTCTTTTCTTTTCTTTTCTTTTTTTTTTGGAGACAAGGTCCCACTCTGTTGCCCAGGCTGGCACGATCATACCTCACTGCATCATCAAACTCCTGGGCTCAGGTAATTATCTCACCTCAGCCTCCTGAGTAGCTGGGACTACAGGCGCATACCACCATACCCAGCTAATTTTCATATTTTTTGTAGAGCCAAGGTCTCACTATGTTGCCCATGCTGGTCTCGATCTTCTGAGCTCAAGCGATCCATCCTCCTTGGCCTCCCAAAGTGCTGGGATTACAGGCATGAGCCACTGTGCCTGGCCTTGTCATGGAAATTTTCAGGAGTAAGCAAATCAGGATACCCTCTGCAATGCATTGACGTGTCTTTTAAGTTACTTTTAATTTATATTTTCCTTCCATCTTACTTTTTTTCTGTAAACTCCATGTCATATATTTGGAAGAAACTGAGTTATTCTAAACTTGGTTGACTGCATACTTAAGGCATCATTTAACACATTTTTCTAATGGCTTGGTTAGATTTAGGTCCGATTTTCTTGTTGCATCACATCAGGATGCAGTAGGGTTGTCTCACTTTTGGTAACATTAGTTAGCCTGGGTATATAGACCTAACAACAATGGCCACATATGTCTACCAGAAAACTCATGCGTGAGTGCTTATAGCAGCTTTATTCATAATTGCCAAATATTGGAAATAGCCAAATGTTCATCAACAGTAGAATGGGTAAATAAATTAACTGATAGATGCATCAGCATTCATGTTTCTCACGGAAGTAATGTTGAGTGAAGAGAGTTAACACAGTAAAGAGCATACTGAATGATTTCAAATATAAGAAGTTCAAAATGAATAAGCAAATTAATGTCTCATTTAAAAATAAGATAGACGGATGAAATAATACTACCTATTAAAAAAGTCTTTTCCCCGCCAAATGAAATGTCTCTATTACTACATACTCAATTTCCATAGGTATGTGTATTTCTGTATCTTGTTCCATTTGTTTATTCACGTGCCTGTATCACATTGTTTTAATTATAGAAGTTTTATAAGATGTTTTAATCTCTGACAGGGTGCATTCTTCTAGCTATTTTTGCTTGTCCTTTCAAATTAATTTTGTAATCAACTTTTCCTCAGGAAACAATAAAATCTTAAAGGTATTTCATTAGGATTGCATTAAATTAGTAGATTATCTTAGGGAGATCCGGTACCTTTATGATGCTGAAGCTTCCAAGAACATGGTTTTTCTTTCCTCTTGTTCACTTTCAGGAATGCTTTGTAGTTTTCCTCATACAGATTTTATACTGTTTCTGTTGTTGATTTTAAGCCTATTTTGATTTTTGCTGTTGTAAATGAGGTCTTCATCTCTATTTATGCTTTTTTTTTTTCTATTTTTACTTTGCCTCCCCCCCGCCCCTTATTTCTTCTTACTGTTATGTTGTATATATGAAGACCTGGTTTCTGTATGCTAATTTTATGTCCTATTTTACTAAATTTTCTTGTTGTTTGGAATAGTTTTTTCATGGAGTTTAAAAAATTTTTCAGTTAAGTATATTATTTGCAAATAATAGATATGGCAGTAGCTTCACTTCTACCCTACTCCGACCCCGGTTATTATGCCTCTAATTGCTTTCTCTTGTCTAATCGCATTGATCATTGCTTACATAATGTTATATAGTAGTGGAGTCCTTGTTTTTCTAATCTTTAGTGTTAAAACCTTTAGTGTTTCCCCATTAAAGATCTGGCTTAAAAAACAAATAACGACAACAACAAAAAAAACCCAGCTATATAGGCCTGGCATAGTGGCTCAGTGTCTGTAATCCCAGCACTTTGGGAGGCCAAGGCAGAAGAATCTCTTGAGCCCAAGAGTTCAAGGTTGCATAGAACAACGATTGCACCAATGCCCTTAAGCCTGGGCCACAGAGCGAAACCCTATCTCAAAAAAAAAAAAAAAAAAAAAAAGCTATATATATGAGAAATATAACTTATATACCATAACATTCATCTGTTGCAACTGTACAATTCAGTGATTTTTTTTTTTTTTGAGACACTCACTCTTTCATCCAGGCTGGAGTACAGTGGTGCGATGGGGCTCACTGCAACCTCCACCTCCCGGGTTCAAGCGATTCTCTTGCCTCAGCCTCCCCAGTAGCTGGGATTACAGGCACCTGCCACCATGCCTGACTAATTTTTGTATTTTTAGTAGAGACGGGGTTTCACTGTCTTGGCCAGGCTGGTCTTGAACTCCTGACCTCATGATCCACCTGCCTCAGCCCCCCAAAGTGCTGGGATTACAGACGTGAGCCACTGTCCCTGTGGTGATTTTTTAGATTTTTTGTTTGAAATTTATAGGGTTGTGCAGCTATCATCACAATCTAGAACATTTTCATTATTCCAAAAAGTTCCCTTGTGTCCTTTTACAGTGGCTTTTATGTTGAGTGGTTTATGAGAGTATATTTTATATGTGTATTTTTGTGTGTATGTACATATAAATATGTCCTATGCCTGTGTAACCATATTTATTGTTTAAGGAAGTATCTGTTAATTTATTTCATTGCCTGTTTTTAATACAAATGAATAATGTTTGAAAGTTTTATTTTTGACATACATGGTTAAATCAGCAGGTTCAAGTTGTAGTCTGTGGGCATAGTGAAACAGAAAGATCTTGTTGCAACAAAATATGGCAACATTGTAGTAAAATTTATTTTCTGTGAGTAAAGGAAGATGGCATTTCATATTCTGAACCGTTTGTTCCATATTGTTTGTTAAAGAGGATGGCATTCCCTGTGGATATGCTGGAAAATTGCAGCCATGAGGAATTGGAAAATTCTGCTGAAGATTACATGTCAGATTTAAGGTGTGGGGACCCTGAAAATCCAGAGTGTTTTTCTCTTCTCAATATTACGGTAAGGTGTTCTGCAGTGATTGTCATCAATCTTTTCAGTCCAGTTTATACATGAAATAAATATCCTTTTTAAAAAAAATCCATTTTAAGTGTTAATCATTAATTTTTGAAATCTTTACAGAAATCTATTCAGTAAAATGGATAAATATTGATTGATCAGTTTTTAAAAAGACAAACTCCACAGGTTATTGCTATTTGACTTTATGTCTTTAAAATTATATGTGAGAAGTTCACCAGTTTTGCTAAGACTGTTTACTATATTTGAGCTACTTCAGATTGACTTTAGATTTGGAATTTGTGAGTTTAGAAAATTTTTTAATTAAAAAATCAGCAAAATACTAAATTACGCATTTTTTGTGCCATGAATCTTTTCTTCCTTTTTCTAAAAAAGTAAAATCAAATTTTCTAGTCAGTAAATTATGATATTTTGTGATAGAAAGATCATTAGACTTGGAATCATTAGAGTTTCACTGTGAACTGTGGTGGACAAATTCCTTAACCTCTCTAGGCTTTGGATTTTTCTTCTGGAAATACTTAATTCTTGAGTCTTCCCCAGCACCAGTATTTTTATAATTCTCTGAATTGTAATGTTATCTCTAAATAGGGAATAAGTGTTGAATTAAGTGAAGGCAAAAAAATATTAAAGCATATTAATAGCATGTATCTTCCCAGAAAAATTAATTTACTTGACTGCTTTTTTTTTTTTTTAACTAGAAAATGGGATGTCTTCCTCAAGTAGTCTAAATAACAGATAATAGATTATAGTTGTTTTTTAATGACTTTGTGGGCCATATTATAGCTTTGGTTTTTATTCAGATATGTGACTAGAACATAATATTTATTGAAACAACTTTTCATATTTTCCCTAAGACAATAAAATTATTCCAAAAGAGAAGTCTATTTGATTTACTCTTTTTTTTAGAGACTAGAAATAATGTCTCCTGTAAAATAAAGTTAATTAAAATTAACATAGGAAAAGTTTACTACTTGATAAAATATTTTTTAAAATGTATTTTCTTAACAGACTGTTCACTAATTTTTATTAATTCGTCATTTCAGATTCCTATTAGCCTGTCAAATGTAGGCTTTGTACCTCTTTACGGTGGAGATCAGACCCAGAAAATTCTTGCTCTCTTTGCACCTGAAGATTCACTGACAGGTCTCTTTTTGCTTAATTTTTATAAATTAAGAAATTTTCCTCCAAACTGTTAGAAACATATTTAAAAGGTAGCTACATGAAGGAATTTGTTTTTTTAAAAAAAGTGTTTCAAATTGTAATTTTAGGAAAATGTAATTCTTAATTGCTTATAGCTAAATTTTCTCATACTGCTATAAAGAGCTTCTTGAGACTGGGTAATTTATAACATTTTAGGAAAATGTAATTTTTAATTGCTTGTAGCTACATTTTCTCATACTGCTATAAAGAACTTCTTGAGACTGGGTAATTTATAACAAAAAGAGATTTAATTGACTCTCAGAGCCAGGTGCGGTGGCTCATGCCTGAAATCCTGGCACTTTGGGAGGTTGAGGCGGGTGGATCACCTGAGGTCAGAAGTTCGAGACCAGCCTGACCACCATGGTGAAACCCCATCTCTACTAAAAGTACAAAATTAGCTGGGCGTGGTAGTGTATGCCTGTAATCTCAGCTACTTTGGAGGCTGAGGCAGGGAGAATCGCTTGAACCCAAGAGGCAGAGGTTGCAGTGAGCCGAGATCACACCATTGCACTCTAACCTGGGCAACAAGAGTGAAACTCCATCTCCAAAAAAAAAAAAATTACAAATTGACTCACAGTTCCACATGACTAGGGAGGCCACAGGAAACTTACAATCATGGCAGAAGGGGAAGCAGGCACATCTTACATGGTGGCAGGCAAGATAGAGTGTGGGTGCGCATGTGAAGGAGGAACAGTCAAACATTATAAAACCATCAGATCTCGTGATAATGGGGACCCCCATGCCGCCATGATCCAGTCACCTCCCACCGAGTCCCTCCCGCTACATGTAGGAATTATGGGGATTATAGTTCAAGATGAGATTTGGGTGGGGATGCAGCCGAACCATATCAATGAAATAAAATAAAAATGGTGTAAATGAGGCTATAAAGTACAATATTAGTATTTGGTAAGTTTTATATAGATATTCAAATATAAAGTATATGGATACTTTATAGTACAATGTGGCCTTATTAAGTCTAAAAGTGTACTTTAAAACTTAGGTGTTAATGATTATTTATTCTCTTTTAGCTGTGGCACTTTACCTTGCTGATCAGTGGTGGGCTATTGATGATATTGTGAAAACATCTGTTCCTTCAAGAGAGGGGCTTAAGCAGGTAACAAGATCCTCTAATTTTGAGTGTTTCTTTTGAGGTCAGTTCACAGTGTTTCCTGTAAACAGTGATAGTTTCTGAGCTCTCCCCTATTTAAAAATAATCAGGTTATATTAAACTCTAGAATTTCATTCTTATGAAGAAGCCAGCATTCAGGTTGGGCTTCCTCTATTTTTATGTGATTCTATAAGTATCTGAGATTGGGTGAGGAAGAATGAATACCTGTGGATTAGTTGAGCTTTGGCTACCTTAAACCACTTTAGCTTCTGATTTTCTTATTTGTTAGAGGAGAAGCTAGTTCTCTTTATGTAATTGTTTAGCTTCTGTCTCTAGGAGAGACTGACCAGGAAACTTGTTTATTAGTAGGGCCTCCTCAGATGGTCTATACAGTGTTCCTAACAGTGGAATGACCAGGTTCGGGAGAGAACAAGCTTCCAGCCTCTGCAGGGTTATAGTAGAAGCCAGCCAGCTGAAGAGTGTTGCAGGAAGGAAGCTGATTTTCATGCCAGAGATGAAAGGGTTTAAGAGACATCTCTGGTGCTCTAGTTATTGGAGGATAAATAGGACAGGATGTGGAAAATCCATAGAAACCAAGATGTAACATATTTGAGGAGGCAGAGCATAATAAAATAATAATTGGTGGCTGGAACAGTGAGATTTATAATATTGGAGAAATAGGAAACTGACTTGGTAGAAGTGCATTAGACTTTGCTTACTTAACAAGAATACTGACTTTTTGGAGAAGCAGTACTATTCATTAATTAAGTATAGAGTTTCTTGTTAATCCTAAAAGAGACCCTTGATGAGGATCATGTTTTTTTTTTTTTTCTTTTTTTTGGGGTGGAGTTTCACTCTCGTCTCACAGGCTGGAGTGCAATGGTGCGATCTCGGCTCACCACAACCTCCGCCTCCTGGGTTCAAGCGATTCTCCTGCCTCAGTCTCCCGAGAAACTGGGATTACAGGCATGCGCCACCATGCCGGGCTAATTTTGTATTTTTAGTAGAGACGGAGTTTCTCCATGTTGGTCAGGCTGGTCTCGAACTCCCGACTTCAAGTGATCCACCCGCCTCGGCCTCCCAAAGTGCTGGGATTACAGGCATGAGCCACCACACCCGGCCAACAGGAGGATGAATTCAACAGAAATATTTATGTGTCTTGATATTCTTCCTTTAGAATACTTCTAGGATAAGCCAAGTCTGTTAAAAACTTGTCACATTCACAGGGTGCCAGCTACTGTTCATTTTTTTGTGGGCAGTTGAACCAATCAGAAGAAACAAGGAAAGCATATCAAGAAACTTTGATCCCGTTGCTCCAATTCACAATAAAGCAAAACTTGATGTTTGCTTAAAGGGGCAGCGGCAGCAGGAAAAAAAGAAATTGAAGAAACTTACAGGTTACTAGGGTGTTTTCATTTTTTTCCCTTTGAGTTGGGAACCTTGAAAGAGATGGGAGAATATGAGAATAACACACTTACTATTATTAAGTATTAGTAACTTGTGAATATTGCATTAATTCTTCAGTGGGCCTTAAGATTCCCAAAGTGGTAGGCCCATCTGCTGAAGGCTAGGAGAATGTGTGTACCTGGTTATCTGCCAGTCTGATAAGAAACGTTGAACAAAACTGAAGGGGAGGAGGGAATTAAATCCCTGCATAAAGCTGTAAAATTGGAGGAGTAGATAGCAATAAAGGAGTATAATTTGTTCTCAGAAACAGTTCTGATAGTGAAAGGAAGTATGTATGTCAAGAAAGTAAACATTTTGACGTGTTTTAACATGACCGAGGTTTGGCACATTACAGATATGAAAGCCAAAGGATGGAGAAGGAGAAGGGAGAATCTTAATATGATGGTATATTGTAGCTTTTCCTATTCAAGTGAAGAAACTATGAAACCTCCAGATATGGATTGGGAAAAGAGGAGGAGTCAAAACCAAAAATGAGACTACAGCTATTAGGACTTCTTCAGCCTTAGTTACCTTAGGGACAACATTCCCTTTCTTTTTTTTTTTTGGACACAGACTGTTACCCAGGCTGGAGTGCAGTGGCGTGATCTCGACTCACTGTAACCTCCACCTCCTGGGTTTGAGCAGTTCTCTTGCCTTAGCCTTCTGAGTAGCTGGGACTATAGGCGTGTGCTACCTTGCCCAGCTAATTTTTGTATTTTTAGTAGAGATGTGGTTTCGCCATGTTGGCCAGGCTGGTTTCGAACTCCTGACCTCAAGTGATCACCCGCCTTGGCCTCCCACAGTGCTGGGATTACAGGTGTGAGCCACCACTCCTGGCCTCCATTCCCTCTTAAATAGAGAAATCAGTGAAGGGGGACTGCTATTCCAGTCAAATCCTGGCCAGTAAGGGAAAATTGGTTGGTAAAGTTATGGGAGGGTGTAACTATTTTTATACTTAACAAACACTTGACTTGGAGCAAGTGGCTTTATTTTTATAAACCTCTGTGTACCTGGAACCTGATGCTCAATTATATGGAAGGGAGGTCCTCAATAGCATGCTGCAAAACATTGTCCATTTTGTCCTTCATTTTGTCAGTGACTTAGAGACATGCTTATCAATTCTGCATGTCACAGTGCTGAATGGAGGAGCTAATCTGTAAAGGGCAGATTGAAGAAGCAAAGAGGAAGATCTAACATAATAAAATTAAATAAGGAGAAATGTAATACCTATAGGTTCAAAAAGTTAACTGTACACCATGAACACCAAACTGAAACAATAGTGCATATGAAAAAGTATTGGGCTTTAGTTAATTAGTAAAATCCAGATAAGCAAAAAAGCTAATGAAAACTTTGTTTATATAGAAAAGCCCCATTGTCTCAGCAGCACCTTCAAAATATCTTCATGAAATCCACGTCCCAAACATGAAGAGAGATGTTACGGATCTGGAGCAATTTCAAGAGAGAGGACTGAAATGGCAAGAGTATCCCAAATTGTGTTAGATTAGCCTTTTCCTTCATTTTTAACCATGTTTAATGTTGATGTGAAATTTAGGGAAACATCATGGCTCTATCTTCAAATATTTATAGGCTGTGTGGCTGCACAATATCAAAATTAGTGTTTGAGAAATAGATTTCAGCTCTGAATAAGGAAGAATTGTTGTTGGTCAGAACTGTGGGTTCGGGGAAGGAATGGGTTGCCTTGGAAGCTATTGCTAGTCAGCTGCTATTTCCTGTGTTTGGTATGTGAGATCCCCTGCCTGGGGTATTTTTGAGAGTAGTATATGTATACGGTCAATCTTTTCTCTATTTACTAAACTAATTAGAGGCTGAATTTGTTTTCTTTTGAGAGACCTGGGGGAAAATAGGCTTATATACAGACCTTTTTTTTTTTTTTTTTTTTTTTTTGAGACACGATCTCACTCTGTCGCCCAGGCTGGAGTGCTGTGGTGCAATCACAGCTCACTGCAACCTCAACCTCTGCGCTCAAGTGATCCTCCCACTTTAGCCTCCTGAGTAGCTGAGAGTACAGATGTGCACAGCCACACCCGGCTAATGTTTATATTTTTTTTGTAGAGACCATTGGGTTTTGCCATGTTGCCCAGGCTGGTCTCAAACTCCTGAGCTCAAGTGATCCATCCACCTCAGCTTCCCAAAGTGCTGGGGTTACAGGCATGAGCCACCCCACTGGCCTGTGTATGAGGAACACCTCACTATTGGAAAGTCTTGAGTGTTGGTGGGGTCCCTGTGACCATGTAGCCCTGTGTGTAGGAAGTGAGGCTCTGTTTCTGTTCTATTACTGCCCTAAGTATGTTTTTATTAGACTTTGGTGTCCCTGTCTTCGTTGGCAGCAAAGATAGGGCTATTAAATGAACATTTTACCAGAAAAAGATGAGACACCTTTCTTTCCCAAGAGCATAATTGTGGCTTCCCTCACCAAATGATGTAATTGTTCTTGAAGTGTTCAGGGGATAACACTAAGCTACCCTTTTTTTTTAAAATGTGGAGACTGAAAAGCAGTTGAAGAAGTTTACTATAGTGAGGGCTGTGATTAGGGTTGGTAAGACCCAGAAAGAAGATGGCGAGTGCTGAAAGAGTGCTAGGAACTGGTACGTTGGGGACCTGTTTTGCCCAATTTAGAATTTTGTTGAAAGGGAGTATTCTATGCATAATATGTGTCTGTGAAAATGGATTGTAATCTATGTGAATGGTTAGTCTCATCTCTGTGGTAATAAAATGTTTTGCAAATTGTTTTGAATGCATTTGAAGTGCTTTGAATGCCAGTATGAGGTATGGGAGCAGGGAGCAAAGTAAATAGCATCTTGTGATTGATGCATATTATAACTGCTGTGCCTGGTGTTTGACTCTCTTTGTAGGTGAGCACTCTTGGGGAGAGAGTGGTTCTGTATGTTCTGAATCGAATTATTTATAGAAAACAGGAAATGGAGAGAAATGAGATCCCATTCCTGTGTCATAGCAGTACTGATTATGCTAAGATTCTGTGGAAGAAAGGAGAGGCCATTGGGTTTTATTCAGTTAAGCCTACAGGTGAGTCTTTAAAAGTTATTTAAACTGTGTATTATGGAAATCTCCATTTTAGACCCCTCCAACTGTATCAATATCTCTGTTAAATTAATCTCTGGCATGCAAATTGAGGTGATTTTACTTAGTATTTCTTGGGAGTACTTTGATTCTACCATCCTATGACCGTGAGGATTATTGGGAAAGTGTTTTGAAAAAACAAAATAAAAATAAACATTTGATCCTGAAGAAGATTTCTTCACATATATGGAGACACAATTGTATGTTGAGTCTCATATTTTTCTATCTTCTTGCGCTCACATTTCCAAAAGTTGTTGTTTACTTTGATTCCCATTGCTGTTACTGTTACAGGCTCCTTCTAAAACCCCAGTCTACCTGTGACCCAGATGCATAGCCTGTTTCTGCATAGCATACCTCATTCAGCCTGACATATGAAAGAGCAACTTGGCTTATTACCAAGAAAAACAAAATGCTTTAATATATTTAGTAAATACAAACAGCTTTGAAATTGTTACTCTAAAGTTTGGGTTTCTGATCGTAAGAGCCAACTATACCCTATCCTTAAAAAATAGTGCAACCTCATGCCTGCTTTACCTGTCCTCCCATTCATTCAGCTCCCTAGAGCAGCTGGAGCTGGGAAACTCTAACCTACTTACTCTGTGTGCACATACAACCCACACCTTGTTACCATCAAAGAACAAAGTCTGCCTTGTTCTGTACCTTGACCAAAAGACCTTTCGCAGAGAATACACTTAGTTTCTTTTTATTTCCATTTCAGATTTTCCAAACTTAGCTCTTCTGGTCACATCCAGTCTAAAGATCCTACCAGATTAACTGCTGATCTGATGAACAGTTGTTTTTGATACCTTGATCCCATAATTAGTACACATTTGTGATGAGAATTAGTGCATATACTCAGTTAAAGAAAGGTCATTTTTTCCCAAGAATGAAAAACTGATGTGCAGTTTAAAATGGTTTTTCTTTAGGTAAATGCTTTGAGTGCCCTTTATTGTCTTTGTTCTTGTATAAATTTGAAATAGAACCAGTAATTTTTGTAACTTCAGAAAAATACTGATTATACATGAGGAAAAAGAGTGTTCAATGGAAATTTAGGGTGCATTGCAGAAAAGACATCACTTTGTTGTTTTTAAATGTTTTAATTTTTGGAGTTGGGGTGTGAATTAATTGTTTTAAGCTTTATTTTATATAAGGCAATTCCTATGGGAATTGGAGGCTTTTTGTTCCTAATACTGGCTCCAGGGGAGTTTCCTACCTGAAACTACCTCGTAGATATTTGGAGCACAACTAGTTTATACTTTTTTATTGAGGACTTCTTTCTATGAAAGACACACAAGTAAAAGGCACAGCCTTCCTATTTAGTATTTCTGATCAGTATTTAACTGCAGGAGTGTGTTCTTCTTATTATGCATGTTGAGGCTCCTCCTCCTCTGGCATCTGGCCTCTATTTCTGCTTGTTCTGGTAGTTAACTATTTTATAGCCTCGAGTTTCCAGGTGCTACTGTATATGCCACTTTTAGTACCTTCCATACTTCTCTAATTGTCTTACATCTTTACTATTTATTTTAGTTTTTTCCCCATTGTACCAGATAACAATGGAGTTAGGTGTGCTTATACTAGCCTTTGAATCAGTAGCCATTTAATTCAGGCTGGAAGTGTTTTTTCTACAAAGGAAACCTAAACATAATTTAAATATTTTAAAGAAATTATCCAGAACAAATACTAAACACCTTGTGATGGAAGTATTTCTGATACATATATAAAGGGATATATATATAAGGGATATTATATATGGGATATATATTATATATATATAAAGGGATATATATATTTAAAGGGATATATATAAAGGATATATATATTCCATTTTTATGTATATAAAGGTATATTTATATAAAGTATATAAACATAAAGTATGTATTATATAAACATCTATTTCATATATACTGATATATGTAAAATACTTTTTTCTACACTGGTAGCAAAAAGATAAAATCTTTATTAAGAAGATTTGTAGTTGAATGAAAATCTTGTGAAATAATTTATTATTTATGATTTTTAAAATTAAATAGCAAATAAGTATATGGAGCTATTAGGACATAGAATAGCCTTGATAGAAAAAGGAGACTTTGTTTATGAGGTCAAATTCTATTACAGTACAATGAAATTCAAGAAACTATATACATTCTTCTTTGCCTGAAATAAAGAGATCACTGTGAGACTGCTTTTTGGGTTAGGTAGATAGTTTTCTTATAAAGATATTTGTGTGTTTTTTTTTTTTCTACTGTTACTTTAATGTAATGAGCTCATTATTCTTTTAAGGTGTATTTCATTTTTTCTCATTATTTATATGATTTTTTATATTTTCAAACAGTTCTCCAAAGCACCAGATGTTTCAAACTAGTCTTTCAAATGAAGTAAAAAAATTTTTAAAAATAAATTATGTTTATTTTGCAGTTGAAGGAAAGCTTCAGAAAATAGTTGCTTGGGATTCCTGAATTTATCTTAATTTATTGGTAAAATAAGTTTTTATTTCTTTGACCAACAGTTGTTCACTTAATGTAATTGATTCTTTCATCAGATATTTTTGAAAAAGAACATAGAGTGAGATTGAAGGTATTGTCACAGCTTTCAAGTCATGGTTAATTCTTGAGATCTGTCCATATCTCATAATGTTTTTGGTTATGATGGCTGGTTCAAATCTGTGCTTAAGCTCTAGGGAGGATGCGGAACAAAGAGAAGCAAAATGATTTATGTCTTAACATATACCACACTCCTCACAAGTCCAGGAAAGTGAAAGGATTCATAAGAAATTTGAAAATACACAGATTGAATATTTCTAATCTGAAAATTTGAAATCCAAAATGCTCCAAAATTTGAAACATTTTGAGCGCCAACAAGACCCTCACAGGAAATGCTTGTTGGGGCATTTCAGATTTTGGATGTTTGGATTAGGGTTGCCCAACTAGTAAGGAAAATGCAGATATTCTGAAATTCCCCCCAAAATCTGAAATCCTGTCTGGTTCTCAGCATTTTGGGTAAGGGTTATTCAGTCTGTGCCTTAGTTACTCTCTATTCTTTTTCATTTGCATACCTCAAGACTGCTGATGAATTTGAGTTTGAAGAAATTATTAATGAAACAATTGGAACAGCTTTTTCAGGCAAGTCGATCTGTTCTTTGGAAACTTCCCTATTTAGTCTACTGTACAACTCAGAAATTATCTTAAGACAAAATCAAATATTAGTATCAAAGAGATTTTGGGTTTTGTTATAGTATTGCCATTAACTTATAAGTTGTGTAACAGTCTTTTTTGGCTTTTACTTTTTCCTTTTAATAAGGGAATTAGGCTTGACCACAGATGATCATTGAGACTTTTTTTGGCTCTAAAGTTTTCTGAATTCTGTAGTTAGAAGTGGGGACTATCTGTGGGCAGAAATCCTTGGTCTCAGGGCTGGCTTTCAAAAAAAAGTTGAATTTGAGAGAAAGGTAGGTAAGTTGAAAGACTATGATAGATAGTAAAGGAAGATTTATTTCTTGCAGTCTTGAGAAGATTCAGTAAGAGTAAATGCATGTAGTGTTTTGTCATCAAAGCCCCAGTATATGACTCTGAGATATGATGCTATATAGGAATAAAGATTATTTCTCAATAGGCTAAATTAAGAAAATGCAAAACTCTTCGGCTACTCATTTATATATTAATATTTTGGGTCAAATGATTTTATGATTTATTCTTAGTAGGCTAATTTTCAGACTCGATAGTTTCAAGTTTGGGCGTTATCTTGCTGTTATTCCTTACATACAGACTGTAAAAATTATGTATTCCCTGACAAAGTAGATACGTGATAGTCATGATGACAGGTACATGGTCTGTAGTGAACTGGGATATATGCAGTTTTTTAAAATAATATTTCTAAGGTGAGGAATTATTTAATGATAGTTCCTAATAATAAACACCCGTTGCATTGTATTTCTCATAATCTTCTGTGTCTATTGGCACCTTCCCCACAATCCACTTGGATAGTTAGTATTGTTTTCTATAGTTGTCATTATTGCTGAGTGGGGTTAGACCACATTTTCACAGGATCCATAGTTAACAGTCCCTCTACTTTTCAAGTTTGGTTTTCATTATCCTTATCAGTTTTTTAGACTTCTAGCAACAGATCATGACTAGTAATAAAAGGTATTTGTTGAGCACATCATGCTAGACATTGGAGTTATAGTTACTTCTCTCTTTTCCTATATTATAGGTAGTTTTATAGTGATCTGTAATCTAAAGTCAAGTTGCAAGTTCCCCATCATCAAGGACTTCTCTTTCCTCTCTTTTTATGTTGTTCTGTGAGGGGGATTATTATCTAGGTAAATGGAATTATTTAGTTTTTCTAATATTGTACTGTTTACTTCTTCCTAATGACTATTAGATGAACAAAGTTGATACAGTAATTCTGGTAGAACACTCAAAATGCTACCACCTTAGGGAATAAATCATTAAGTGATCTTTATTTTATTTTCCATATTTCTTTTTTTTTTTTTTTGAGACGGAGTCTTAGGCTGGCTGGAGTACAGTGGCGTGATCTTGGCTCACTGTAACCTCTGCCTCGTAGGTTCAAGAGATTCTCTTGCCTCAGCCTCCTGAGTAGCTGGGATTACAGGCATGTGCCATCACGCCTGGCTAATTTTGTGTTTTTCATAGAGACGAGGTTTCACCATGTTGGTCAGGCTCGTCTCCATCTCCTGACCTCAGGTGATCTGTCTGCTTCGGGCTCCCAAAGTGCTGGGATTATAGGCGTGAGTCACCGTGCCTGGCCGAGCTTCTTTTAGAGGGTGGTTTAATTATTTTTTTGAGCCAGGGTCTTGCTCTGTTGCCCAGGCTGGAGTGCAGTTGTGCAATCATGGCTCACTGTAACCTCAACCTCCTGGGCTCAATTGATTCACTTCCCTTAGCCTCTCAAGTATTTTAGTTTTCTATTGAAGGAAGGAAATCTTGCTA